TGCCCTCCGCACGACAAAAGCGACCAAGGACACCTGAGGCAAACTCGCCACCACGGTCTGAGTGAAGACGCAAGACAGGGAGACTGCGGTGGACACGCGCAGAGACAAGCCAGGAGATGAGAGCGCCAGGCACGTCGGCCTTGCGCTCCAGGGGAAAGACTGTGGTGTAACGAGTGAAGTCGTCGACAAGCACATGGAAGTAGCGCTCTCGACGCGGCCCAGGGTCGGGGGCGGGGCCCCAGACGTCCAGGTGCAGGGTCTGCAGCGGCGCGGCGGTAGGGGGAAACGAGAAGGAGTGAGGGGCACGGCGAAGCCGACCCTCGACACAAGGCGTGCAAGGGGGGGCAGGGGAGGAGGGAAACGCGGGGAGAGAACCTGGGAGACCAAGGACAAGACCGTGCTGGGACATGTGACGCAGACACGGAAGCGCAGGGTGACCTAGGCGGTGGTGCCAAAGGAGAGTCGGGTGAGTGAGGGACCGACAGGAGCAGGCAGCAGCAACCTGGGTAGACGCAGCCACCTGAGGGGGCGCTCCAGCCGGGGGGGTCACGGTGTCCAGAGTGAACAGGCCGGACACCGTGTCCCGGGGGAACGTGGACAGGGGGGCACCAGTGGCGGCCTCGGTACAGACAGCATACCGCTCGTGACCAGAGAACGTAGTGGTGACGCCAAGGTCCTGGAGGCAGCCGACACCAACTAGGTTCCTGGAGAACGAGGGGATATGCAGACCTGTAAGAGAGCCCGAAGGAACCGCCGGACAGGGAAGGGTGGTGGAACTGCGGGCGACTACCGGACCGCCAGAGGGGTCAGCGAGAGAAACGGCAGCAGGGACAGGAAGCGGCGTCAGGGTGGTGGAGTCGCGGAAGAAACACCGAGAAGCGCCAGAGTCCAAGGTGAAGGAAAGCGAAGCAGAGGCGTCTGGCGACGGAACGACGACGGAAGCACCAAGACTACACAAAGCAGATGATCCTACGCCTGACGCAGCAGGGGAGGGTACACTAGGCACACCTACACTAGGCAACAGTGAGTAATAAGCGGGAAGCACACTAGAGTCATCAGCATACATCACATGCAGAGCAGAAACAATGGCATCCATGTCCATATCAAAGATCTGAATCTTACGACTAAGCAAACTGTGCCAGTCCGGGAGGTCTGGCGACGGGCCGAAGCGCTGACGAAAGAGGTCGTCCAGGCGACGAAAACAGCGGGGAGTGGAGTGACCGATCTTACCGCAAACGAAGCCACGGCGAGGACCGGCCTGGATCTGGTACTGACAACGCCCGCCACCAGAGCCACCACTCGGCACACCACCACGCGCCCGGCCACCGCCAGCGCCGGGCCACCCGGGCGGGAGGACACTCGTCTGCCGCGTCTCCGACGGCTGCTGCGGCTGCTGCGGCTGCTGCGAAGGCTGCGACTGCGGCGGCTGCTGCGGCTGCTGCAACTGCAGGGGCGGCGGCTCAGCTGGACTGGGCAGGGTCCCCTCGTCCGCTCCAGCACCAGACGACCCGACCCCACCACTACCCCCTCCCGCACCCCCGCCTCCGCCTCCGCCGCGCCCAACCTTGGGGCGGCGGCCCTTCCCCGAACGGAACTGCGCTGCAGCAGCAGTCTCAGCCACTGCGACAGAGCCGTCGGAGAAGGTACACTCGGCGGGGGCACAACCCTGAAAGATAGGGACAGGCACGACACCGCTCGCCTGGGCGATGGAGCGGTGACGGGTCTCTATCACAGTCATGGTGTCTACAAAGTCAGTGAGGGTGAGGTCGGCGGGGTGAAGGCTAAGGAAGCGGTCGCGGGCGACAGCAAGGCGGTCAGGGAGGCGGGTGGCAAGCAGGTAGAGGGTAGATGTAATGGGCGGCTGGTGGGCTCTAAGCTGTGCGTCAGTGCAGGCGGCGCGCCAGGTCTCCTCTATCGAGCGCAGGTGGGCAGCGAGGTCAGAGACAGTGGGGAAAGATGCAAGGTCAGGAAAGAGCATCGGGAGGATCAGGCGACCCATCGAGGCTGCCGGAGGGGTGGAATAGCGCTTGATGACAGCATCTAAGTATGCCTGAGCAGTAGTGAGGGACCTAAAGCGAGGACGCTCGGACGGGGGGAGGGCGTTGCTAATGGCAAGCTGGGCGACAGCATCGCAAGAAAGCCAGACAGAGCGCGCACGGGCAGTGGCAGCAGTAGACTCACGCTCAGTGGGTGTGGGGTCAGCGGGCAGAATGGCAGGGGGGTCTGGGCAGGGGAGCGTACCGTCAAGGTGTGCGGAAAGCGGTTCACCATCCTGCCGCTGGCCAGTGAGTTGGCGGCGGAGGTCAGCAAGCCACGCCTCGAACTCTAGGGGCTGACCTTCAGCGTCGAAGCGCAGCTCCGCCGCCATCAGGAACAGTCCAGTGCGGTGCAGGGCGGTGCATTGCAGTGCAGTGCGGTACAGTGCGGTGCAGTGCGGTGCAGTGCGGTGCAGTGTGGTACAGTGCGGTGCAGTGCGGTGGAAGGCAGGACAGTGTACCAGTGAGGAGGACGGGGCCGGGGCAGCGGGGCCGGGCAGGAGCGACCGGGCCGGGCTAGGACGACGGGGCCGGGCGGGCGCGACGGGGCCGGGCTGGTGCGACAGGGCCGGGCCGGGGCGACGGGGCCGGGCGAGCGCGATGGGGCCGGGCAGGGGCGACGAGGCCGGGCGGGGGCGACAGGGCCGGGCCGGTGCGACGGGGCCGGGCGGGCGCGACGGGGCCGGACTGGTGCGACGGGGCCGGGCAGGGTGCGACAGGGCCGCGCGGGCGCAACGGGGCCGGGCGGCTGCGATGGGGCCGGGCAGGGTGCGACGGGGCCGGGCGGGTGCGACGGGGGGGGCCCAGGAGGGGCGCTGCAGGGGCCCAGGAGGGGCGCGACGGGGCCCAGGAGGGGCGCTGCGGGGCCCAGGAGGGGCGCGACGGGGCCCAGGAGGGGCGCTACGGAGCCCAGGAGGGACGCGACGGGGCCTGGGAGGGGCGCGACGGGGCCCAGGAGGAGCGCTACGGGGCCTGGGAGGAGCGCGACGGGGCCCAGGAGGGGCGCTACGGGGCCTGGGAGGGGCGCGACGGGGCCCAGGAGGGGCGCTAGAGGACCCAGGAAGGGCGCGACGGGGCCCAGGAGGGGCGCTACGGGGCCTGGGAGGGGCGCGACGGGGCCCAGGAGGGGCGCTAGAGGACCCAGGAAGGGCGCGACGGGGCCCAGGAGGGGCGCTACGGGGCCCAGGAGGGGCGCTACGGAGCCCAGGAGGGGCGCGACTGGGCCTGGGAGGGGCGCGACGGGGCCCAGGAGGGGCGCTACGGGGCCTGGGAGGTGCGCGACGGGGCCCAGGAGGGGCGCTACGGGGCCTGGGAGGGGCGCGACGGGGCCCAGGAGGGGCGCTACAGGACCCAGGAAGGGCGCGACGGGGCCCAGGAGGGGCACTACGGGGCCCAGGAGGGGCGCTACGGGGCCCAGGAGGGGCGCGACGGGGCCTGGGAGGGGCGCAACGGGGCCCAGGAGGGGCGTTACGGAGGCCGGGAGGGGCGCGACAAGGCCCAGGAGGGGCGCTACGGGGCCCAGGAGGGGCGCGACGGGGCCTGGGAGGGGCGCGACGGGGCCCAGGGAGGGACGCGACGGGTCCAAGGGGCGCGACGGGGCTAGGGGGGGGGGTCGCGACGGGGCTAGGGGGGCGAGCGGAAGCGGTAGGTGGGGGGAGGGATCCTACCTACGCGTGATACCATAACAGAATTGAACAAGTGAGTGCTAGAGTGAGAGTACACACAACTATACCTAAGTGTTGTACCCTCTAAGAGGCGACCCTATACAGTCTATACAAACATGACATATACACATGTTTGACACCTCGTGCCTTTATTGCAATAGCGACCTTGTATTCTTACGTTATATTTCATTCACTTCCTAGATCATAACAATCCGAGGGCGCGGAGTGCTTTGGAATGACGCGAAAAAAGTTCAGCATGACAGGTATTGGACAGAGCTAAGGCCTAGTCCGGTGACGTGAACGTTCGGTTTACGAGCTAGCTGTGCGCCTTAGTAAGGAATTACTACTGATTCCTTACAACAGGTTAGCCCCTGTTACACTGGCAGGTTTTCAAGGTTCAGGGTTCACAATTTCTTGGTGCTACTTTGCACAGGCGGAGAATCTCCGCGATCTCTCCCAAGTTCCAACCTGGACGGCCATCGAGGTGCGATTCATTCAGTCGAGCCTCCTCCTCTCCCCACCTCTCTCATTTTCCACCTTCCTGTGGCTGGTTCGTTCCAGTGGATCCTTCACCGGGAGCGACTAAAAAGGAATCTAAACGGCATCTTCGCAACCAACGGCTGAGATTATCGATTCTTAATCCCGACAGAGATGTTTTATCTGCGACCAATCGCGGTGTACCACCTCGGAACTTGCAATGCTCAGTAACACATTCATGGAGTCTACTTCTGGACCCGTGGCGGCTCACGTGGCAAAGCGCCTCTACAGGTATCTTGTATGGAAATCAAAAGCCGAGACGCGTGGGAGATCAGAATTTTAAAAGTAAAATTCCCCCGTACTTAGAAATTTTGGGAATAACGTATCTGGATTTCCCAGGCTTTCCACTAGTTTATAACTGCTCGGACCATCAACATCGACGTGCTGCCATACCCTGCAAACCATTAGGGCTGTCTCGCGCTTTACGTTTATCCAACAAAACCCTATCCAACCGTTTCAGGTCATCATAAATGCTTTCTGACTCGCATGGAAACTGACCCAACCGTAATCAAGCGTACGCGTGGGACGCGCCCCTAGTAGTCCTCATTTCGATTCCATTGTGCCTTTTTAATAGAGCCGTGGGGTATACCCCCAAATGTATATGAACACGAAAGATGCCGTTTGGAAAAAAATGCATCGTATGCCCTCCCTCAAGGCCCAAACTAAACCCGCAAGCGCGATTCCAGAAAGCATCAGGGGGGCTCACGGCTTGGTTTCATTTGACCATCGCTCTCCCCCACAGTCGTACCTTCAAAATAAACCACGATCCGCTCGACAGCTCTGACATCGGACCAAGTAGTTCTTGTCCAGATAGCATCTACGACGAGCTAGAAGGTGGCTTCAAACCGTCTTGGCTTTTTTCAGCCGGTAGTCGTTCCCTGCTGTCCGATAGCGATCGTTCGTGTCATTGAGTAACCATGGCGGTGGTCATCCCCGCCCACTCGTACACATGGATTTTCGTCATGACGTTGCTGTTCGCCTTTCTTGACGCCTACTCAATCGGTGAGCGTCGCGACCAAACCTCTACAGTTTGCTTTCGTTAGGGGTCTGTTGCGGTACCAGATTTTCGTGCATTTCCGCTGAATACACTTTCCTTCGGTTGTTCCATCCCTCCGCATCAGGTGCCAATGACGTCGCCAATTCCTTCGCCACGTCCGTCGGGTCGCGGTCGCTCACCTTGGCGCAAGCCGTGTTCATCGCCATTTTCACTGAGTTCGGAGGAGCCATCGCCCTCGGCGCGTCCACGACCAAGACCGTGAAGGACGGCATCATCCAGACCAGTATGTTCAACAGTAGGCCGGACCTGCTCATGTCGGGTTTCATGTGCGCGCTCGTCTCGTCGTCCACGTGGGTCATGTTCGCCACGTACCTCGGGATGCCCGTCTCGACCACGCACTCAATCATTGGCGCGCTTATCGGAATTGGCGTTAGCGCGTTCGGCATTGACGCTGTGAACTGGGGCTGGAACGGCAAGGGCGTGGCCCAGATCGCGACGTCGTGGGTGCTCGCGCCCACCTTTGCCGGCATTCTCGCCGCAGCTATCTACCTCATCACCCTGTACGGTGTAATGAAGCGTAAGAATTCTCTCCGCGCGGGTATCTACGCGATTCCCGTCTACTTCACAATCACAACGTTCATCGTCTCCTTTTATGTTGCCACTAAGAACGGCAAGTCGACCCTCGACTTCAAGCCCAAGACTACTGGTGGAGCCCTCCAGGTCACTGGGAATGTTGCCCTGGCCTTCGGTATCATTGGCGGAGTTACGGGCGCGGTGCTCATTTTCTGCGTCGCCCTCCTTGTGCCATTCTTCATCCGGCGTCTGGAGAGGGAGGAGTCTCTCAAGTGGTACCACATCTTCTACATTCACTGCGTGCCGGAGCAGCCGCAGGACCCCAAGATCGACCTCTACTTGAAGCGCGCATTCACGCCTCAGCTTCTGAAGGACGACGAGAAGAAGGAGCTGGGTATGCCTGTCGACGATCCCGAGGAGGACAAAGAGAAGGAGCTTGAGAAGCCGCCTGCCAAGAACCCGTTGGTGCGATTCTACAACCACATCAAGCTGCTGCTTTGGCGGTCGATCTTCATGGACGTCGCGAGCCTGCAGCACGAGAACAAGGGCGCGGTGCGCGCGCACGAGGTGGCAATCATCTATGACAACAAGACCGAGTACCTCTATTCGCTGCTACAAGTCATGACCGCCGCTTTCGCTAGTTTCGCACACGGCTCGAACGACGTCGCGAACGCGCTGGGTCCGCTGGCGGGCGTGTATCAGATCTGGAGCGAGGGCACGTTCAAGACGGACGCATCTGTGCCTACGTGGATGCTCGCGTACGCCGGTCTCGGACTCGACTTCGGCCTTGCTTTCTGTAAGCCCGTCCTTGATTGTACTGTGCCATGTGAAATCTTGCGCTTTCCAGATCTTCATATCTCGACTGTACAGAATCCATGGTGTTTAATCGCTGATGTGTCTCCTTCCCACGCAGATGGTTACCATATCATGCGAACTCTTGGTAACAATATCACCTACCACTCTCCCTCGCGTGGATTCTCCATGGAGCTCGGCGCGGCTCTCTCCGTCATCACGGCGTCGTTCCTCGCGCTGCCCGTCTCCACGACTCAATGCATCGTCGGCGCCACGGTGGCTGTGGGGCTGTGCAACGGCAACTGGAGAGCTATTAACTGGGCTATGGTGGGCATTTCTGGCTTCGGATGGCTTCTCACGCTGCCTTGGGCTGGTACCTGTGCCGGGTTGCTGTATGCGATTCTTACCCGCGGACCTAGCTTTACCATGCCGCCGGGCATGTAAGAAGCGATAAGCGGGCGTAGGAGTGAGGGTTTAGAGTGGGTTCATGAAACGTTTGGGAGTTGATGGGTAGAGTAGATTCCTCGTTTTTGTGGTTGCTGACTGCTTCTGGCCAGCTGTCGGTTTGTATGTCTTATATTATCGTGTCCCAATAACAAAGTAGCATTTGTCATCGTTGTCAGCTCCGTAGTCTTGTGCGACCATATTACAAACGCCAGCTTGGCCAGCGATATTGTCGTCCATCCCTCCCTCACCTCGGCGAAGGAATCTCTTGAGCTTTAGCGAAACCTCCCAATGGAATCTTAATGGCATAAATTATTGACGGCTGAGATGATTGATTCCATATCTCGCCCAGATATGTATCCTCAACCAATAGCAGGGTATCGTTCTGCTTTTACTCGCGTGTCAATGCCTAGTCACGCATTCTTGGAGGCATCATTTCGTCAACTGAAAATTACGTGGCAAAACACCTTTCATAGGATATATTACAGGTGGCATGTTCCCCAGGTCATTACGAGATTTGTGCACCACGCGATTAGACCCTAAAAACGAAAACGGTGAGCAGATTACCCATCCGTTCAAATGTACTTTTCTAAAGAATAAGTGAGCCCCATTTGGTCCCTCACTGAGCAGCGCTGTTTATGATCTATTTTATAAGCTTTTGTTTTAAGCGTGCGTTTCAAAGTCTTCCATTTCATCCATCCCATACTTCACAGCCCCAGCACCCGAACGCGATTCCAGAAAAGAATATGCGTCAATACAAGCGCCGCTATCACGGCACGACTCGTACTCGCTCTCACTCAATCCCGCTGCCCTCGCCTCGCCTCTGCCTTGTCAGAGCACGCTTTGATCTCCTCTCCTCGGCCAACAGTACAATGAACAATGAAAAAGTTCAAAGGCTTGGCATCCTCATTAGCAAGAAACTAACTTCTCATTGTCTCGTTCGACAAAGCTGCTGCTTGCACCGATTTTTGACTCAACTCTAGCGCAAGGATCCACCAGTTCCCTACAAGGCATCGTCCCTGCGCGTGAGCAACCATGGCCTCGGTGGTGATCCCCGTCCACTCGTACACATGGGTTTTCGTTTTGACAATGCTCTTCGCTTTTCTTGATGGCTACTCCATCGGTGAGCTTCGCGACCCGTCACGTCAAAACCGCGACTCTTCTTCAGTACTCATTTTCCCAGTTCTGTCGTGTCCGTCGTTTTGCCACCCCCATGCCGTGCGTGAATGACAAACATTCCTGTGTCGGTTGTTCCGTCCCACCATTACAGGTGCCAACGACGTCGCCAATTCCTTCGCCACGTCCGTCGGGTCGCGGTCGCTCACCTTAGCGCAAGCCGTCTTAATCGCCATTTTCACGGAGTTTGGAGGAGCCATTGCTCTTGGCGCGTCGACAACCAAGACCGTGAAGGATGGAATCATCCAAACAAGTCTTTTCAACAGTCGGCCGGACCTGCTCATGTCGGGTTTCATGTGCGCGCTCGTCTCGTCGTCCACGTGGGTCATGTTCGCCACGTACCTCGGAATGCCCGTATCCACGACGCACTCCATCATCGGCGCGCTAATCGGAGTCGGCATCAGCGCGTTCGGCGTGGACGCTGTGAACTGGGCCTGGAACGGCAAGGGCGTTGCGCAAATCGTGACGTCATGGGTGCTCGCGCCGGTCCTGGCAGGTATCCTGGCGGCTTTAATCTACCTGATCACCCTCCACGCTATCATGAAACGTAAGAACTCTCTCCGAGCGGGTATTTATGCGATTCCCTTCTACTTCACGATCACCACGTTCATTGTCATGTTCTTCGTGGTTTCCAAGAACGGCAAGTCAACTCTCGACTTCAAAGCCTCCAGCACCGGCGGCTCCATCAAAGTTACCGGGAATGTCGGCCTGGCGTTCGCCATTATCGGCGCGGTGACTGGCGCCGTTCTCCTCTTCTGCGTGGGTCTGCTCGTGCCGTTCTTCATCCGGCGCCTGGAGAAGGAGGAGAAGCTCAGCTGGTACCACATCTTCTACATTCACTGCGTGCCGGAGCAGCCGCAGGACCCCAAGATCGACCTCTACTTGAAGCGCGCATTCACGCCTCAGCTTCTGAAGGACGACGAGAAGAAGGAGCTGGGGATGCCCGTCGACGACCCCGAGGAGGACAATGAGAAGGAGCTCGAGAAGCCGCCTGCCAAGAATCCGCTCGTGCGATTCTTCAACCACATCAAGCTCCTGCTATGGCGGTCTATTTTCATCGACGTCGCGAGCGTGCAGCACGAGAACAAGGGCGCGGTTCGCGCGCATGACGTGGCCATTATCTATGACAACAAGACTGAGTACCTCTATTCGCTGCTCCAAGTCATGACCGCCGGTTTCGCAAGCTTTTCGCACGGTTCGAACGATGTCGCGAACGCGCTGGGTCCGCTGGCGGGCGTGTATCAGATCTGGAGCAGCGGTTCGTTCGCGACGGAGGCTTCCGTGCCCACGTGGATGCTCGCGTACGCCGGTATCGCCATCGACTTCGGGCTCGCCTTCTGTGAGTTAACATCGCGCTCATGTCTACCCGTCTCTAATTTTTCTTACCGCTTGCTCCCTTCGAATTTCCTGTCTGCTGTTCCTCTCCGAACCGAGTGTTCACCTAGCTATGGTTGCTCTCTCCCCCTTTCCCCCCTCCTTCCCCTCCCCTTCTCCCCTCCCTCAGATGGTTACCACATCATGCGAACCCTTGGTAACAATATCACGTACCACTCTCCCTCTCGTGGGTTTTCGATGGAGCTCGGCGCGGCTCTCTCCGTCGTCACAGCGTCGTTCCTCGCGCTGCCCGTCTCCACCACGCAGTGCATCGTCGGCGCCACTGTGGCTGTGGGGCTGTGCAACGGCCACTGGAAGGCGATTAACTGGGCTATGGTGGCCTGGTCTGGCTTCGGCTGGGTTCTCACGCTACCGTGGGCTGGTACCTGCGCTGGTTTGCTCTATGCGATCCTCACCCGTGGGCCTAGCTTTACCATGCCGCCCGGCATGTAGATTTCGGGTTAGGGGTTTAGGAAGGTGTAATAATTATGTAAGTCTCGGTTCTGATGGGTGAGGTTTCAGTTTCACTGGTCAGCTAGTTGATGCTGTATTGTCCGTCTTTGTATTTCGGATTTCTTCGCTATTGCTGAGGCCTGTTCATCAGGCAAGAGCCTCGTCAGTCTGCAATTTGGCTTTGTCTTTCGGCCAGTATCGTTCACATTCAAATTATGCCCCCAACGAAGTTCAGGCGTAATACCCTTACTGTGGCATTGTCACAGCAGAGCTTAGGCCTGACTGGCCACCACCCCAACCACTCCCCAGGTACATGCGAAGCTCTTCACAGTCTGCACAAGTATTTCGCATACCCTCGCCACGGGCAAATAAGCCTTTCGCACTAATTCACGGTGAAATGGGTGGGTATTTGTGGGGGGGTATAGTGTGGCGATGTTTGATGCCAGTGTGCGACTCTTGTGAAGCGATCAGACGACGGTAGTGCACAGTTCCGTGGCGACAAAACCTTGTCGGCAACGACTTGTCCCTTGCTATATGTTGATCGCAGACGCAATCATGAGTGACTCTCGAACGGATCTCCCATTGCCTGTATATCGGGGGTTTTGGGAACGGATTCTGATTAGACGCCAGGCTGAGCTGCGATAAGGTTGGGCATCGACTGTAACGTGACTGTTGGAAATACCTCAAGGACTTAAAGCCCGCGGCTAAAATAGCAGACCAGGAAACTATCAGAATTGAACAAGTGAGTGATAGAGTGAGAGTACACACAACTATACCTAAGTGTTGTACCCTCTAAGAGGCGACCCTATACAGTCTATACAAACATGACATATACACATGTTTGACACACCCCCTAGACTGCATAGGAGAATGTCCTAAACAAGCAGCTCAGGGCGGCACTACTAGTCCAACCTCTGAGACAAGGGTCTGAGAGACCAGTCAGAAGGAGTACAGACAAGGCAAGAACAAGAGCAGGGCGGCACTACTAGTCCAGCCACTGGGAGAGGACACAAGTCCAGTCTGAGTATACATATAAAGGACAGTACAAAGTCAAGGTCCTAGCAAGTGAGAGGCTACAGGAACTAGACCAAGCTGTACACAGTGCCGCTGATGATCTTTAGGCGCAAGCGCCTTCGTAAAGATATCAGCCGTGTTGGCACCTGAGGCCAAGTGTACTACGCGAGCCTGACGTCGCTGCTGTAGCTCACGCAGGAGGAAGTACCGCAGCTGAATGTGCTCCGCTCTGCCCTCAAGTCGAGGCTCCTGACACGGGAGGATCATGGCCCTGTTGTCAGCGAACAGGACCGGGGCAGAGCTAGGCCGCTCACCTAAGTCAGTGAGCAAGAAGGTCAGCCAGCGGAGCTCCTGTGCAGCCATGGCACCAGCGAAGATCTCAGCCTCACAGCTGGATTGGGCAACAGACGAGGAGCGGGTAGCTCTCAACGAGACGGCACCTGTGTGTCCAGTAAGGACCACTGGCCTGCGTCCTCCTAGCACTAACCCCATGCCCGATGTACTAGCAAGATAACGCAAAACCCTCTTAGCGGCAGACCAGTGCTGCGGTCGGTGTCTGCCTGTGGCCACAAAACGAGCCAGGATGCTGAGAGGGTATGCGAGATCTGGGCGAGTGCAAGTCATCAGGTACATGAGGCAACCCACCAGCTCTGCGTAGGGGCCGCTGGGCTCTACCAACTCCTCAGACACTGGAGCGGAGAGCCTGTGGTCTACAGACAAAGGGGTGGGCTGTGCAGAGGAGAACTGAAGGCTGAACCTCTGAAGGACCTGGCGCACCAAGTGTGACTGAGTCAGGGTGATGGTGCGCGCAGCTCTGTCCCTGGAGATCTGCAAGCCAAGGTAACGGCGCAGCTCTCCAAGGTCAGTGCAGGTGTGTCTCTTCAGCAGCTCTGCCTTCACGGAGGCCAGTGCGTCCCTGTCTGCTGTGGCAAAGACCAGGTCGTCGACGTAAACAAGGATGTAGAACGGAGTCTGGCCAGCACGAACGAAGAGCGAAGGGTCTGCGGAAGACGGAAAGAACTGCAGGTCAGCAAGCGTAGCACGGAGAGTGTCGTGCCACTCACGGGGAGCCTGGCGCAGGCCGTAGACGGGGCGCCGCAGGAGCCACTGGGTCCTAGGAGGGAAGGTGCCAGTAAAGCCCTGAGGGCGACGTAGGTAGACCTGCTCGTGTAGGCTGCCCTGAAGGAAGGCAGTGGAGAAGTCGAGGGAGTGAAGCTCGTAGTCACGCTGAGCAGCTAGGTGTAACAGAACCCGAAGAGTAGTCATCTTCGGGGTCGGAGCGCAGGTCTGGAAGAAGTCCACCCCCTCGCGCTGACTAAAGCCTCTAGCCACATAGCGCGCCTTGAAGACAGGCGGCTCTCCAGGAGGGCGCTTCACCTTGAAGAGCCAGCGGCCATCGACTACGTTCACCCCAGGCGGGGGAACTGCGTCGACGAAGGTGCCGGTGGATCTCCAAGATGCCATCTCCTGCTCCATGGCAGCTATCCACTGCGAGGCCCAGGGTCCCGAGGTCGCCTCAGCGTAAGTGCGAGGGGTCGGGATGTCGAAAGCGTCTAGGTCACCCTCAGGGACTAGCAGCATGGAACAGAGATGGGGAGCAGCCTCGGAGAGGAAAGCAAGCTCGAACTGGCGGTCCTCCAAGACGTCACTGCCAAGGGCAGGAGCACCCCCGACAGACGGAGGACAGGCAGGGTCAGAGACCAGAGCGGTGGCGTAGTCAAGGCGGCGGGTAGAGGCGAAGTCAGCGACAGCAGCGACAAGAGTGTCAAGGCACGGGACCGGAACAGACGGGTCGGTAACGAGAGAGGCAAGGACCCGAGGAACACGAGGACGAGCGGCACGAAGGTAGTCAGACACCGGGGGGGGTGCAACAACAAGGGAGGACGGAGGAGGCGACGGCAGAAGGGGAGGACGAGACGCGTGGGAACGAAGCAACATAGGGTGGGAGCACAAGACAGGCGAGGCAGGACGAGCACGGGAGGGACGGTGAGACCAGACGTGCGACGGAGGAGTCGGGTCAGGAGACAGGGGAGGGGACACAGGAGGGGAACGAGGGGGGAGACGGGCCGGGGACGAGTTCGGCGGAGGGAAAACAGGGCCGTAGACAGGAAGAGGAGGAGACGGCAGGAGAGGAACAGACGCAGGGTCGGGGGACGGAAGGCCGAGCAGGCGAAGGGCGGACACCGGCGGGGACTGCTGCTGCGGCGGCACAACAGCGACACCTGGACCGCAAGCTGCTCCTCGGCTACCACCGCCACTCTCCACACCAGCACCCCCAGAGGGGCCACCCCCAGGGCGACCGGGACGAGCACCCCCAGAGTCAGCGAACGGGGGCTGCGACGGCGGCGGCGGCGGCAACGACGGCTGCAGCGGCGGCAGAGGCGGTGGAGGAGGGGACTGGGGAGGGGCAGCCGGCGAGGACTGCACAGGAGGGCCACCAGAGTCAGAAGACTCCTCAACCGGGTCCTCCGACGGAAGGGGGGTAACGTGAGACACACCAGAGGGGGCGGGACGGGGAGGAGGAGGAGGAGGGGCAGGAACTACTGGGGAAGGAGGGACCAGGAACAGGGGGGGAGTAACCGGGGGACCACGGTGGGGGAAGCGACGGTAGTAGGAGACGGACTCGTCAAAGGTGACGTCACGAGAGTGAAAGAAGCGGTGGGACGGCGGGTGGTAAAAGTGCCAGTCGAACGCGTCAAGGGGAAAACCGAGGAAGACGCAGGGAAGGGTGCGGGCAGTGAGCTTGTCCGTGCCGGAGGCACGGACGTGAGCAAGGCAGCCCCAGACGTGGAACGCAGACGCGTCACCAGGAGACCCAGTCCAAAGACGGGTCGGCGAAACCTGCGGCTGCTGAGGGTGCGGCCACAGGTTAAGCTGGTGAGAAGCGTAGCGCACAGCGAACGGCCACAGAAAATGGGGTGCACCGGCATGGATCATGGAGGTGCGAGCCACCTCCATGACCAAACCGATGCGTCGCTTAGCGACCCCATTCTGCTGGGGGGAGTCCGGTAGGGTGAACGTCTGGGTGATGCCCTCCGCACGACAAAAGCGACCAAGGACACCTGAGGCAAACTCACCACCACGGTCTGAGTGAAGACGCAAGACAGGGAGACCGCGGTGGACACGCGCAGAGACAAGCCAGGGGATGAGAGCGCCAGGCACGTCGGCCTTGTGCTCCAGGGGAAAGACTGTGGTGTAACGAGTGAAGTCGTCGACAAGCACAAGGAAGTAGCGCTCTCGACGCGGCCCAGGGACGGGGGCGGGGCCCCAGACGTCCAGGTGCAGGGTCTGCAGCGGCGCGGCTGTAGGGGGAAACGAGGAGGAGTGAGGGGCACGGCGAAGCCGACCCTCGACACAAGGCGTGCAAGGGGGGGCGGGGGAGGAGGGAAACGCGGGGAGAGAACCTGGGAGACCAAGGACAAGACCGTGCTGGGACATGTGACGCAGACGCGGGAGCGCAGGGTGACCTAGGCGGTGGTGCCAAAGGAGAGTCGGGTGAGTGAGGGACCGACAGGAGCAGGCAGCAGCAACCTGGGTAGACGCAGCCACCTGAGGGGGCGCTCCAGCCGGGGGGGTCACGGTGTCCAGAGTGAACAGGCCGGACACCGGATCCCGGGGGAACGTGGACAGGGGGGCACCAGTGGCGGCCTCGGTACAGACAGCATACCGCTCGTGACCAGGGAACGTAGTGGTGACGCCAAGGTCCTGGAGGCAGCCGACACCAACTAGGTTCCTGGAGAACGAGGGGATATGCAGACCTGTAAGAGAGCCCGAAGGAACCGCCGGACAGGGAAGGGTGGTGGAACTGCGGGCGACTACCGGACCGCCAGAGGGGTCAGCGAGAGAAACGGCAGCAGGGACAGGAAGCGGCGTCAGGGTGGTGGAGTCGCGGAAGAAACACCGAGAAGCGCCAGAGTCCAAGGTGAAGGAAAGCGAAGCAGAGGCGTCTGGCGACGGAACGACGACGGAAGCACCAAGACTACACAAAGCAGAGGATCCTACGCCTGACGCAGCAGGGGAGGGTACACTAGGCACACCTACACTAGGCAACAGTGAGTAATAAGCGGGAAGCACACTAGAGTCATCAGCATACATCACATGCAGAGCAGAAACAATGGCATCCATGTCCATATCAAAGATCTGAATCTT